GAAGAGGAGTAGAAGTAAGACGTGATTATGAGGCAATAGTGAAGAGAATGCAAAGTGATGCAGTATATATATATATATATATATATATATATATATATATATATCTTGGCAGTTATAGTACAACGGTCTAATCTATAAATAGTGGTATATATATATGGATAGATAGATATTTCAGAAGACAAAAGTGACTACAGGGACTTCCATTTGATATCTTTACTCCAATTTCTTTTTTATTTTAGTCATTCATTCATTTCCTGTATGTTCAGCATAGTATTAAAAGAAAGATATTTATATATTGGAATCGTAAAATTGTTTATTTTATTATTGTCCTTTCCTGTGAAAAAAATGTGTATGTATATAAAAATAGGGTTTTCACTTTCGCTTTTTTAAATAAACGTTGCATTTTATTTATAGTCAGTTCAATAACCTATATACACCACTTTGATAAATACCAGATATATGGAAGAACTGGACGGTTATTTCGTCTTATTATGGGACTCCTAAACAGTGCGCATCCACGATCCCGCCTCGCAAGATTCGTACACAGGACCTATCAGTCTCGCACGCGGGCACTTAACAAATTGACCATTGAGCTGACCGGTATCCAACGGTGTTAATGTCTAACTCCAACCAATCCACGAAATTGAGCAACCATTCACCAATGTTATCAGTCAGTTGATAACTCCAAACAGACCTGGTTGAACTTCATTGGTTACTGCTTCTCCCTACAATTTCAGGAAATATCTTAAGGAATGCCACAATAGGACAAAACGACCCACCAGTGCTTCCAGGTTTTTCGTGGTTGTCTAACTTCAATTGACTCATGATTTCAACTATATATATAATCATCAGTTTACTAATTAATGATCATGTATAGTTGTTTGATTATTGAGTATTGATGTATTTCATGTTTCTGTTAACCTCTGATAAGGTGATTAATTCTATCATTCAAATTGTAATACGTTCCCTGGTCTAAGCCATTAAACAACGCGTACACGTTGTTGGAATGTTAGCTAGCTGGAAGTGGTTGACAAGAAACCCTGAACTCAAATTTCATATTAGTTTGCATTATTCAACATGGAATACCTGTATTCTTCAGGGAACTGATGCTTCCTATGATACTGAAACTTGATCGGCAGAATCCAATCGACATTAAAATATTATAGATGAGAGGGGGTTTTGTGGAGAATTTAGTATTTTCACAGTTGAAATCATGAGTCAATTGAAGCTAGACCACCATCGAAAACCTGGAAGCACTGGACGGCCGTTTCGTCCTATTATGGGACTCCTCAGCAGTGCGCATCCACGAACCCGCTCTCGCGAGCGAGATTCGAACCCAGGACCTACCAGTCTCGAGCCGAAGCCCTTAACCGATAGACCACTGAGCTGGCATCCAACGGTGTTAATGTCTAACTTCAACCAATCCACGATATTGAGCGACCGTTCACCAATTGTCTTCAGTGAGATGATATCTCTACAACAGACCTGGTAGAACTCCACTGGCCACTGCTTCCCACTAGAACTCAAGGAAATATCTCTTGAAGTCAGTCACTAGTGAGCATATGATTATAGATGAGAGGGGGTTTTGTGGAGAATTTAGTATTTTCACAGTTGAAATCATGAGTCAATTGAAGCTAGACCACCATCGAAAAAATATTAGACAAACGTGAAATTAATCATTACTCATTGATCAATCACTTGTAAATATTTCAGTCCTACAGAAGGTCAATGGTGGATATAATAGTCCCGTGATGATGATTCAAATTGTGATACCGAGTGAAGCGTCTTCGAATCCATCAGGGAGTAACATTTCTCCCAGTGTTTGCTACAAGATCCACATAGTTTAGTACTATCTTATGGAATAATCTACATATCCTTTACTGAGGAAACGAAAAAAAAGTTAAAACATTTTGGGTAGTACCTTATCAGTTTCATTGGTTAAATTTGTAGTAGAAGTTCTCATTCGATTAGTATTGTTGGAGTTCTTTGAACTACATAGCTTAATTGTAAAGCTTTTAATGTCTCTTCGTACAACATCATTAACGCCCATATCTTATTGAAATGAACATGATAGTTATTTCTATAGAGTTAAAACTATTCGTTTAGACCGTTTTCTTAGTGATTAGTTATCTTCGTAAGTTTTGTTGTTCACTTCTATATGTAAAATCCAGAAATGAAGCATCTAACTCAAATAACTCTATGATATAACTGTATCCTCGTGAGCTGAAAATTTATATCTTATTTATCGTAACAGTTTCATATTAGGCTTTGTCGTTGTGCAGTTATGCCCATTTTTATGATGTTTTCAGTTGATGAGAATAGGTAATACAAGAGTGAAAGTGTATATCTGTTTAATATTTACTTCTTATTTGTTTGTATGTGTTCAACAAATCATTTGAAGACTTATGAACCTGTATGAAATGTTGAGATTACACAGTGATGAATTCTCCTAAAGTGATCTCAGCAGTCATCAATAATTATAGATAAATGTCTAATCAAAATCTTTGAAACAATTCTCAGAAAAATTTTAGTTATTTTTTGTGTTGGTTGTTTGAATCTTCCCATTGACGTTTGGGATTGCGATTGATCAGTCCATTGCTATCTATCTATTCTATCTATCTATCTATCAATTCTCAGAATACGTTGAGTCAATAAGTCCTTGGAAGATTTCGGTTAATTTATGTTTTCTTACATAATTAATGTGAAATGTTTATTAAATCTTAAGCTATTTTATGAAAGTTTCTAAAGTAGTCTAATGAATAAGCTTCTGTTCAGTCTGTTACAATAACGTTCGATACTGACTTTTTAGCCTTTTTCTAAATCCTTGGAATTTTCACACATTTAAAACTCAAACGGTACAAAGAATGCATAGAGTTAGTAAATTAGCTTTACTTCAACGTTCGTTTATGTAAAGAAAATAACCGTATTTTTATAGGTCTTTTGGTAATCTTTGAACATCAGGGAATTTCAATAGCATTTACAGATCTAACAGCAAAGTAATTTATCATACAATTAACATGTGACATTCAGTACATCAGTTTCCTGAACGTTTTTGCGGTGTATCATACCACAAGGAAATGCTTTCAGCTTTACCGTGGCTTTTGATGACTTCGTCGAGGAATTCTCTGGGGATTCCGAAAGTTTTAACTACATACATATACATAAATACAAAGGATATGAAGCAAAAGTGGGAGAAAATTTTGTTGTTTAAATTGACTAATCTCTAATCCTTATCGTAAAACCATATTTTATGATATATACTTCCTGATATTCAATAATAAACTGCATCATGAAAATAATTCACTATAACACATATTGATCCGGAAATTAGAAAGAAATCTCTACTGTTTTCTCTATTTCTAAGAGATCAATGATACAATTGAATATTTTTAATTAACTATTATGAAAATAGGTTAGAACTTTGAATATGTTACTTACTTACTTACGCCTGTTACCCCTCGTCGAGGAGCATAGGTCGCTCACCAGCATTCTCCATCCAACTCTGTCCTGAGCCTTCCTTTCCAATTCTTTCCAGTTTCTATTCATCCTTTTCATATCGGCTTCTATTTCCCGAAGTAGTGTGTTCTTTGGCCTTCCTCTTTTCCGCTTCCCTTCCGGATTCCAAGTTAGGGATTGAGTCGTGATGCAGTTCGGTGATTTCCTTAATGTATGTCTTATCAACTTCCAACGTCTTTTCCTAATTTCCTCTTCAGCTGGAAGCTGGTTTGTCCTCTCCCATAAAATGATGTTGTTGATAGTATCCGGCCAATGGATGTTGAGTATTTTGCGTAGACAACTGTTTATAAATACTTGTACCTTCCTGATGATGGTCGTAGTAGTTCTCCACGTTTCAGCTCCATACAGTAGAACTGACTGTCTTGACGTTCGTATTGAAGATTCTGACTATGAAATTAGTTGACAGTTGTTTTGAGTTCCATATGTTCTTCAATTGTAGAAATACTGCCTTTGCTTTGCCAATCCTCGCCTTTACATCTGCATCCGATCCTCCTTGTTTAACAACGATGCTTCCCAGATACGTGAATGTTTCCACCTTTTCCAGAGTTTCGAATTAGGACCTTATGAAAGGAATACAACTGACATTATTGTTGTTTCAGTGAGATTCAGAAATTTTCGCGTTATGATCTGAAACTGAATTTTTATTGTCTGATTATTTCTTTCACTCAATGTGATATAGATTCTTAATTCATTTGATACGTTAGATTTTAAGTAACCGAATAGGTTTCTCCTGAGTTTCAATTAACTTCTAGTTGATAGCCTAATATACTACTTTAAACCTAGTTACTTATTTGGGTTAGTTTAGTTTCTAATACAAATTTTGTGAGTAGATATTTGAAAAACGATTATTGATTTATCACAGAGCAAGTGTACTCGATTTTCTACGTTTTCTGAGAGTCCTCATACAGTTTTGCATGGAATCGGTATTATAAGTTCATTTAAAATGGGAAAATATATAATAATTCATTTGATGTTTTATCTAGATTGGTTTATACTTTAGTTAAATCTGTCGTAGACTGATCTCACCTGGCTAAAATTAGAAGCCAGAGAGCAGTGGACAACAGTTTTATTCTAGCATGAGACTCTTCAGCAGGATACGGCCAGGACTAATGTAGCCTTCGAAACGAAGACTTTTCGGTCTCGTGGCAAGCACTAAACCATTAGAACAACTTCGTCTATTTTCAGCGGTTTGCCATATAATACAATGATCATACCGTGGCATATGTGACATTAGTTTCACTCCCTATGTTTTTAGACTACACCAGTTATGGATTAACACAGTTGAGGAATCCCATATTGAGACAAAACAACAACCCAGTGCTTCCTGATTTCCAATGGTATTTTGATAGAAATCAATATACGAGGGAAATGATCCATGAATGAGTTAATTTTGAAATATTTTTCATGGTGTTCTCATTGATCAGAATGAATCTTAATCTATTAACCACATCATAATTTTAATTTTCATTGTCATATAAATATAGCCTTCTGCTTGTGATTCAACTACATCAAGTTTGAACAATCCTCGAATAACATTTCTGCCACCAAGTCTACGAATTATACAACGTTCTATACCATTATATTTAATTGAAAGTATTCCAAGTAGTCAGTTACCAGTGAAGAAACAAGGTATGTCTTCAGTTGTACATTGATGAAACATTTTTTTGTTTTAAGTTAAATGCATGAAGATTATCATATGACAAAATAACGTCGAAAATTAAAAAAGGTACAACAAAAATCAAATAGTTTAAATATTCAATGTTTTGTAAGAACTAAATGGTTCACACCAAATAAAGTCAAGCGTGATAATTTTGTACGTATCTAAAGACTCAAATCAAAAATATCTTAATATAAGCTTTTTGTTTAATTCATGAGTCGGTTTCAGCTAGACCACCATTAAAAACCTAAAAGCTCTGAACGACAGTTTCGTCCTAATATGGGACCCCTCAATAGTGCGTATCTATTATCCCGCATACGGGAATCAGATCCAGGACTCATACTACAACCTTCATGAATCTACATTCTGATTTAAATATTTGACAAGTATTTGCAAAGACTTTATAGTCTATTAAGCAATTTCGTTACACAAAATAATTATTGTGAAATCTTACTTCATTAGATGGATCTTGTATTGGTAGTGGGATATTGTTCTCTTAGTAGTAACTGAACTAATATTATTTATCAAGTGAAATCGTTAGGGTTTTCGATTGTACTTTTGTTGATAATTTGACTAAAGTCTAGTCATTCTTTGTTGGCAAATATACATCCTGTGCACGATGCTTCGATATTACCACTATGACACAAGATTATAGAGGAAAGATGGAATGTGGCATGTAGTGGAGTCAAAAATGCGCGCTTCGTCATAGTTGGGACTCATTAGCCTAGGCTGATAAATTTTGAGTTAAAATATCAACAACTGAATAGTCGGAAACATCAGAAATGAGATCAAAATTTCATACTGATTGCGCAAGTGAGTAGCCATTTGAACTTAGTAGCTTATCAGATAACGCATTACTGTTTGACATGAAAGTTGCTGAGTCTGAATTTCAGAGTAAACATCAACTCTGAGACGCAGGTACAACTAGCTGACTATTCCTAAGTAGGACGAAATTGCATTTTAAAGTCCACTACTAGCTACATTCTATCTATTCTACGCAAACAAGCTTTAATTTGTTCTGGCATGTTCTGGCATGCTCAACTACCATATACAGTAAATTACATCACTAGTTGACGCAGAGATCGGTTGGAAGAGAGTAGGAAGCACTAAACTAATACCTTATACACCTGAATCGAATGCAAAGATATCGAATTTTTGTATGCCTTTAACGTGATTATCATAATTATCAGTTTGAGACTACAAGTTGTGATGTGGTCTACTTATATCCATATAAGTAGTATATGGCGATGGTCAGACACAGAATGTATTTTGGCAGAAGATCGATACGAAAATGCATGAACAATGAAATTAGGGAAGACGGACTCTTCAATCCACAAGGCAGTGAAGCAACATAACGATATTCAGTCTCATAGTAGTCGGTGACCAACGATTGGTTCATACACTATTTGTTCCCTTCAACATCCTGATGTCCATGTACACCATCGGTTTAGAATTAGGGTTTTCCAATTTTCATATTTGGATCCTGCGTAATCATCAACCCGGTTAAATAGCCAGACATTGTATTTTCGTCCTATCAATTACGTAAATAACACCCCTGTTGTGAGAAGATAGTGAGTAGGATTTCTCCGGTAGTGATTGTATGCACGTGGCCATGTGAGAGCATTTGGAGTGGGAGAGTTGACTCTTCCTCCCCACATTCGGTCATACCAGGGTATTCAGGGTTAAGAAAGAAAATAGTGTTCATTGAATATATAATATACACAACTATTACCATTGATATAATATACTTATTTATTATGTGCTTCATATTTACTTCTATATTATATCTTAACATGTTTATCTTCTTCTTCTTCTTCGTCTTCTTCTTTCAGTTCCATCAAGGATATGTGATGAATTATATTGTTCAAATACATTACATATATTATTAATGATAAGTTTAATTGGTATATTAACATGTTTAATGGGTGTAATGGGTATGTTATTAGCACGTAAATATCGTCATCATTTAAATCATACAAGAAATTCATTAATACAATCTAAATCATTAATAATAAAACAAAATCATTGTCCTCAATCAAATAAAAATTATTATAATCCAATTAAACAATCATCTAGATCACAATATTTAATACATAAACCACATATACAATTAGATCAACATATAGATAATGATATAATAAAAAGTTTGTTAACAGTTGATAGTCATATAAATACTAATACTAATCATATTACTAATAATAATGTTAGTAGTAGTAGTACTAGTAGTAGTAGTAATAGTAATATTAGTAATAGTAATAATCAACCATATACAATCGACATTAATGATTGTTGTAAATATTGGTTAAATGAACATTCATATGCTAATCCTTTATTATTACAAAGATCTCTACCTCATGATCTACCTTTGTGCCAACAACATCATCATCACCATCATCGACATCATCATCATCACCATCAACAACAACAACAACAACAACAACAACCATATGAGCAACATCAACTTTATCATTCACAACATCAACAACCATCACAATACCAATTACAACATTATGAAATTTCACCATCATCTACAATGGCTACTCCAAATCATTGTTCATGTATAAATGAGACATTATTTACTGATAATAAAATAATACAAAATTTATCAAATTATTATACTCTGAAAAGCTATACTACATTACCATTAACTACGACAATAACCACATCGAATACATTTACATCATTTAAATCATTAGAAAATTCTAGGCAAAATGATGATTATCCATTGATGAATAGGACAACAACAGCGTTTATATTGGAACCAACACATACACTAATAAGTAGTAGTAATACTATTACTACTACTACTAATACTAATAGTAATACTACCACTACTATGATTACTACCATTAATAATAATGATGCTCATAATTATGACAATAATAATAATAATAATATGAGTATAAGTACTATGAACAATATTCATGAATTGATTGCATCATCATATCCGATAACAAATATAAGTAATACGACTACTTCTACTACTACTAATACTACTGATAATAATAGTAGTAGTAGTAATCAAATGTGTACAATAAAAAATTTACAATTTTTAAATAATAATACACCAAATTATTTATTATTACAATCAAAATATAAAAAATTATCTACTTTTGATGATACAATTTATTTTGGTATAAATTATCATAATCCTAATTGTATATTAAATTCAACAATAGATACAATACAAATGAATACAAATGGATCACAATGAAATGTATTCAAAAAAGAATAATGTAAGTAGTTTAAATGACTATAAAGGTATTCATCGTTTTTGGTTTTGGTGTTTTCGCTAAAAATGCGATCATTTTAATAGTTGAGATCATGAATCAATTGAAGTTAGACCAACATAAAAAACTTGGAAGCACTGGATGGTCGTTTCATTTATTGTGAGACTTTTCAGCAGTGCGCATCCAATGGTGGATAGTTGTTAATTTCATGGATTACTTGAAGTTAGACATTAACACTTTTGAACACCTATCGGCTCAGTGGTCTAGAGGTTAAGTGTTTGAGCGCGAGATCGATATGTACTGGGTTGGAATCTCGCGGGGTGGGATAGTGGGTGTACACTTCTGAGGAGTTCCACACTAGGACGAAACGGCCGTCCAGTGCTTTCGTGTTTTCCATGGTTGCCTAGCTTAAGTTGTCTAATGAATTCAACTATTAAAAAAAATTGCTAAAATCTCCATAAAACCACCTTCTGAGAATGTTACATCGTTTAAAAATTCCCATCATATTAAAAAACAAATATTTGAAGTAAGAATATTTTTTTAGATAAATTCTCTTCAGGTTCTACAATTGTATATCCAAATTAATAATCCGAAATATGGACAGTATTGTCAAACAAAATAGAATAAAATTATGTAGTGTTGATATGACTCATATGGAGTGTTAACTGGAATCAACTTATATATTCAGTGAAAATGTTAAAATCCATGATCACAATAAATATGGGTTCTAAAGTGTGAAAGAGATAATAGTGCAATTACAATTTTAATCAAATGTTTAATGGAAGACTATAATGTGTGAAAAATGAGTAAGACGTAATAAAGAAGGATAAAAGTGAAGTGAATAAGTCATGTCTAGGGGAGATTAATAATGATGTTTAACCATTAATAATAATAATATTAATATCATTAATAATAATAATAATAATAATGATAATAATAAAAATAAAATAATAGAGAATAAAGATAACAGAGGCAATTACATTTGACTATGAAAGATCGTAAGTTTAATAGTCAAATTAAATCATTCAATAGCTAGAACTACTAATGATTAATTGACTTTGAGTTTGGCCGGGGGGAGAAGAATCAGTTGAAGATATATTTCTTTTTTTTTTACCTTATACCTGCAGTTTCTTCATCCGGATTACTACAGTTTCAACTGTTTGAAGGATTTTAAGTCATATCAACATTACACAATTTTATTCTATACTTTACCTTTAACTGAACCATTTTTTTCGCATTATTATTCTGGATATACATAATTGTAGAACTTGAATAGAATGTTACATCATTGAACAAAATTATCAAGGACAGTTATTGTGTTGAATATATTAGTCTATAAAAATTAAAAAGAATTGTTACATTACATAATAATAAATTAATTAAAGATTATAAAGAGATTTCAACTATTGAATTTTATAGTCCATAGGGTTTCTTTTAAGTATTGACTATAAGTTACGTAATTGCCATAGAACTAATAAAATAATAATAATTTAAGGGATAAATGTCTAAGAAAATTGTCTACTTAATGAGTCTGAAAAAAAAATCAATTAAAAAAGTAATAATAAAGGAATGATTGACATTAAAAATGTGTACAATTAAAATGGATATTAAAATCATGGATTAATTAATATAGGGACTGAATTTATACAGAAAGATCATCATTGAATTGATGAACTGACATATATTTAATCATTTAAATATGTATCATTATAACGTTTGTTGTGGCAGCTCTTTTGATTCTGTAGTTAATTTTTATTGATGCCCTGGTACGGCCGAGAGTGGGGAGAGTCTACTCTCCCTCTCGAAATGCTCTTATATGGCCACGCGAATATATAGCCTCTGTCAGGGAAGTCCTAATCACTGCCTTCTCACAGTGGCGGGGGTGTTGTTTACGAAAGTGAGAGGACGAAAAGCGAATGTCCGGTGCTTTAACCAGGTTGGTGGATGTGGAGGATCCACCTAGGGGAGTTGGAAAACCCTGATTCCAAACCAATGGTACACATGGGCTCCAGTATCCTGAGGGAACAAATGGCGTACGAATCAATCATTGATCACCGGCTACCATGGGAATGCATCTCCTCACGATGCTCCACTGCCTTGTGGACTAGACCTTTAGGTCAAAGGCTCCGGGTGTGGCCACCTAAGAAAACCACCTGCTTCACTTTGGGCACCTGGGCAGTATCACAGCCCTCACACAAATCGAATGAGATTTGTGAGGCGCATATGTATGTGGTGCTTTTTTGTACAAATATTTACGTGTTTAAATAAATAAATAAATAAAATTGATGGGTTCATTGATGATAAGTATTTTGTACATCTTTCGTATAAGTTGTCTGAATCTTATCATTGGTGTTTACGACTACAATTGATCAGTTTCATATTGGCATATATGCATCCTGTACGAATTGCTTCGGTATTGCTTGAAGTCGCAAGGATTATAAGCAAAGATAGACGATGGCTAGCAGTGCAATCTAGGACGTGCGTTTGGTCCTATTTCGGACTCGTCAGCTTGTGCAATAGGTAGAAGTTTTAATATAATTTTGTATTGGTTATTTGAGTCTTCCTATTGATAAGTGTTTAAATTTTATTTTTTTAAGTATTGAGTAGTCAACTTATTTGAATTCTTTCTCAGATGGAGGTCAGATAGGTTTATTTATTTATGTATTTTGAAGACGTAAACATTGATACAAGGGGGTACCAAATATATAACACAATAACAATATACGCAGTACTACTTATTATTGATCAATGTGAAAGCTGGGATACTGCTCGAGTTCGAAGTAGGTGGTTTTATTAGGGAGCCACACCAGTAACTTAACGAGATGCAGTCTTATGGTAGTCGCTGACCAATAATTAGTTCATACGCCATTTGTTCCCTTCAAGATCCTGAAGTTCATATACACCATTGGTTTGGAATCAGGGTTTTCCAACTCTCGTAGTTGGATCCTGCGTATTCACCAACCCGATTAAACAACCGAACATTTGTTTTTCATCCTGTTAATTTCGTAAACAACACCTTTGGTATGAGAAGTCATTGAGTATGAGTCCCTTGTTAGTGGATGTATGCACATGACCATTTGAGAGCATTTGGAGAAGGAGAACTGACTCTCCTCACTCTCTGTCGTACCAGAGCATTTTGCTTCGATCAAATAGGTATTCATTAACTGTACACTTCACAAGATCAAACAAACTTTGTTCTCTTAATTGTTTTCATGTTAATTTTTTTATCTTTTTTTTTTAGAATGACAATGTAACAACCAAATTCTAAACGAATTATTAATTCTGTTCGAATGAAGAATTAGAAACCTGCTCAATCAGTTTATTCTTTTTATTTCACTATCCTTTAATTATTATTATTCCTACTTTTCAACTAAAATGTACATAAATGACGTAGAAATGAAGAACATTAATTCATCAGTGAACACCTTGAAATGAATTTGTAACCAATAAAGTTTGTACTATTTCATAATTATTCTCATTTTTATTAAATTGTACATGATATATATATATGTACATACTACTTACATATCTATAAGGAAGTAGCTACTATACAGTTGAACCTTTAAAGACTATTTTAAAAACACAAATCTTTGATGAAAGACAAAAAACAAAAAAAAATTAGGGAAAACTATTCCCTAATTAATGGTTGTGCACTAATTTTGATAATTATTTATAATGAAATGAGAATTATTCTACACAAATAAATGCACGTACATATGAGGATTTGTATATATATATATATATATACTTATACACGCACACGCACACACACATACACAGGCACAAATCTATCTCATTTACACTAATTTTATTGTGACATAACATTCTTACAAGATGAAAAGAGGAAGAGAAGAAGAAGAAGAAAGAATAGAAGAGTTTCTAATTCGTTGGATTATTAGTTAAACAAAAGGAAATAATATATTGTAATCTAAATTACCACAAAAAAAAATGTAAACTTGTATTACTTTTGCATTTGAAAAAAAAACGTGAATGTAAAAACTTTTAAAAATTGATTTTGAATTTTATTTGTATTAATCATTCTCCAAGTTTAGGAGTACTGTTTGTTTTGTTTTTGTTTTTTTTTAATAAAACTTGATTACGTAACTTTTACTAAATATTCTTTCGGTTTTTCTTTTATATGTGAACTGTGCACAACATCCTTACTGAACGTTATTACTATAAAAACTGAGGATAATATAAACAAAGATGGATAGTGGATAGTAGAAGAATTGAGAACGAGCGTTTTGTTTAATTTGGGACTAGTCAGATGGATGTACCTACATCTCAGAGTTGATGTTCAATCCAGGACTCGAACCCAGTACCGTTCGCTTCATACGTTATAGCGTTATCAACTCAGCTACTGAGTCCTGATAGTCACTTGCTTGTGCAATGAGGTCAAGTTTAAATTCACTTGGCATTATTTGTTTGAATCTTCCCATTGATGAGATGCAGATACATCCAGGTGATGAGTCCCAAATAGGAAGGAACGCGCATTAAACTGGATTCCACTACTAGCCACTATCCATCTTTGCTTACAATATTTGTGAAACAAGGCTATATCGAGACAATACGCACAGTATGCACATATTCTAATTAGAGACTGATCAATTGCAGTCCCAAAAATCAATGGGAAGATTCAAACAAACAATACTAAGTGAATTTGAGGATAATATAGTTTGCTTGTGTAAGGGGAATAATAATGAAAATTTATGAGTCTTAAAATCAGGAGTACAAGATATTTTAACATTTTATGTAGTTTGGAGATAACTTAGTACTTATCAACATCTTCTTATAAGGGAAAGGGGTTTGTGGTTATCAAAGTTTATAATTTACAATAAGAACTGATTTTAGTCAGAAAACCGTTGAAAACTAAAAAGTACTCAACAGCAATTTAATCAAAGTGTGAGACTTATAAGTTGAGTATCCACGACCCTATCGGGAATAGAACGCGGAATCGGAAGGCTTAACAACGTGTGTCTGACTATTAGACAACTGAGTCGGGATCCATGGCTGAATCCTCGAATCACTTTACGAAATGATTCACTAGTGACCATAAGAACATTAATAATGTTAAAAAGTTTTTAAACATTCTTCTCTGACTTTTCAACTAGTACAATATTTTCACTCTTGTTGCAGAGGATACTCACAAGCTACTAGTATATGATCACAGATGTCTTAGAAATATTGCTCACATCCTCTGTGATCACCAGGTAAGTAACAGTGAACATACACTCAGGGTGTTAAGGGATGATGGTAAATCAGTTGATGAGGTTGTGGATCTTCATCGACTGAGATGGTTGGACCACGTATATTAGGCATGCCAAGCCACCGACTACCACGGCGCGCAATGTCGACTATTATAAATCTCAATAACTGGTGATCTTGGAAATAAAATGAGGTGAGAATGGATTTTTCAAAAAAGGGACAAATCAGCTTATTGTTAGAGGTTTAATATTCAAATGTAACACTCAGCAAGTCGTTTGCTATCTTTATTGTTTAAAATATACGTCACCTCTTTGTCCATAACATTTATGATGCAGATACTGTCCTATAAATAAACTGAATATCGACCATGTGACAGAGATATTGAGACTTTCAGTCTCTAATTAGTGAGATTGGTCAATACATAATAAAGTCAAGACTTATGTAGCCATTTCTGAAATTACGAAATCCAAAAAAGTATATCTCTCGCTTAAGCACTCAATAAGATCTTGAATACATATGCATAATATTTTGAAAGTGAATGGATTATATCGTATGGATAGTTGAAGAAAGATGCACTGCTTAAAGTAAATACTAGGTGGATGTGTTCCAATTATTCTGAAAACAAAGAATATTTGAGCAAACAATTGTTTTCAATAACTTCATCATCAGGCAGTTATAACTTCGAATTGCTGTGATATTTTACAAAGGTCATAATAAGGCAATACTACGCGATAGGAATGGTGAAATTTGCATCCTGAAAATTCGGATCTTTATATTCAGATCTACCTAACGCTCAAATTATAAGCACACTCGTGTTAGGTAGGAACTTAAGTTGCACAAAGACGTTTGACTACTCATTTCTTTAAAGTAGGCAAACTAGGCAAACATTCATTTTTTATTATTTCCCTGAAGAAGTCCAGACAAGTTAGCTGGACGAAACGTTGGAATTATTTAAATTTCAATCGCTGAGACTATTTCAAATATAATTTTTTCACATATAATGAAACATTCAAATGTTTATGGTTCTGAAAATTGGCAGTTTATATATTTTTTAATTGCAGAGTTTTCTCCCATGACTCTATCTTAGATAAAATTATCGTCCTCTTTAATCTGGCTCCATAGGATCAGCAGCTGAATCTAACTTATGAATGGACGTGATGTTTGTTGAACACTGAGTTCTCCATTTGGCTACTCGCTAGCTTGTTCAACTGATATGAAATAATATGTAAGAGTTTGAATTTCCACGTACAAGTCTCAGTGTGAACATTAACAGTGGAATAAAGGCGAATTCACTTGAAGAGTCCCTAAAAAATATGAACGCCACGTCTTGATTGCTACTGTAAGCTACAATGAATAAAAAGTTAAATGTAACGTTCAAAAATGGTTTTTCGTCAAAGCATTCTTCAGATATTCTGTTTGTTTTATTAGGAAATTCAGTATCTAAAGCTAAACTGAGCTGTTAAGCACCTTACAGATGATAACAAAATGTATTTTACCAAATTTCTAATTTGGTAAACATCTAAAACTTACGATTTATTAACGTTCAAATAATTTTCTTCAAGACTTACATATAAGTAAGCTTCAACTAGCCGGTTGGTCTACAGACGTTCATACTGTTTTTCTAATTGTAGCTCCTGACATAACGTGATGACTAGGCTTACCTGTGGCGATGGCTCAATCGACTTATGTTGAATGGAACATTTATTCTCCAAGGTCCTACCATGTTTAGCAAGTTGGCTGGAAAGCTATCAGAACGAAAGTATGAAATCCGAGTGCTAAGTCAAGCTATTAACTATACAGGAATAGGACGACAAAAATTGAATCCATCGGATAAGCAGAATCTGCAGAGGTGCTGTCTTGTCGAAACAGAAGGAGAAAGGCATAAAACCTCGGCCCTAAAAATAGTACACCTATCCTTGCCCCATGGATTTCCCCCACTGGAAGTAAGTGATTTAATTCACCTATTTAATATAGATACATAGTAGTACAACTGGGCAACAAAAGATGGGTATAGGCGACATAAGTAAGGAGGTAATATTGTAAAGAGGTAAATGCGGAAACAGGAGTACGAACAAAAATAGGCAACCACGTGAACTAAAATACTATCTAGTAGGAGATATATTTCAGACAAATATAAAACCAAGAGAAACTTCTCTTGGTTACGGTACTTCATTCCATTTTTATGAACAACTTAGGAAAACGCCACAAGATGATTGCTATTGGCTTCTATTCTGAGCCGTGTCTCACAATATCTCAGTCCACTGGAGTTGATTTATGTCTCGGACACCAGCCAGGGAGACGTGATGGACCGACAGATGACAATCCTATGCAGCTTTTTTATAACGCTAGGCTGTTACGAACTGACCACTCCTCCACTTTCCGCGCTCAGTCTCACTATCAGTAAATAATGTCAGATGTGGTGAACATCAGGATATTCATAAAACAAATCAAAACCACTGTGGCCGGTATTTCAAGATAATGATACTGATTTAGTTGTCATCACTGTACCCGAATACAAACTGGCGAACTGACAATGGACGTCAGAAACCCTTCCATCACTACGATGGTCGGACACAGAGAGTCACCGAACATCCTCGGCTCGAAGAGACCAGCCTTCACAAGCTTAGAGCAGCACAGCTCTCACCGACACGTTGTAAACCCGAGCGCTTATATGTAGGCTAATATTACAACAGAGTGGAAGAAGGTTCAGATCGTCACAAGCCATTCTGGCCTTTACTATGCATAGATCGATCTTATGTCACGCCAACACCTTGATTCAGCCTCCTAACAATAAGTAATTAGAATTTAGAAGGTGTAAGACACATGTTGTATTTATAGACACAAAGTACAAACTTAAAAACTGAGGTTTGAATTAGTTCTATGTCATCGCACAATAAGATAATGTCATCAGCATAGAGAAAGTAGGAAAGTCATTTTACAGTTAATCCTGCCTGACCTCACTGCTGGATTAGAACAATGGAGAAAGGTGGTTGCACATCCTCGCTTTACCTGATGTATTTGTGTATAGAGCTTCTAAGATATTAATAAACTCCACAGAATAATCCTTCCCCAGAAGACAATCTCAAAGCATAGTTCTATCCAATAAATCAGAGGCAGCCTTGATATCAAGAGACATAAATACTTTTGACCTGCAATAAGTATGATAATGCCCTAACATTTGGAGGAGAGTAAAGTAAGTGATCAAGGCCTTAAAAGCACGCAGCTAACAATAAGTATTATTCAAAAAACGTTGTGTATAACCAGTCTCAAATAATTGTCCGTTGAGCTCGGGAATCACGCTCCCATGTCACCAATATCACTACTATATACCAATCTATTTTCCTTTTTAGGCAGTTCAAGAAAAAGTATCCATATCCATATCATTTTCATCTATTAATTAAGAAAAATACAAAAGCAGACAAAAGTAATATACCAGTTCCATAAGTATAATACATATATTTTGTTTCATCAATACTGGGAATTTTCACAATTACATTGCCAACAGGTAATTGAACATCTTTAACATCAGATGATGACTACGAAATGAAAAGAGATAAGATTATATTAAATGAGAACCCTTTTAATTAAGTGAAATATATAAAACTTCATTGTAGTGGTCTAATTAGTAAAAATAATTTATCTGATTACATATTGATAGAAGATTAGGAGCATGTAAAATTGTCAGATTCACTGGAATAACACATCTGAGGTCGATTACAGCTGGAAGACTATATATATTGACATATCGAAATATTTGTATGTGAATATATATAAATAATTAGAAGTCAACTGTTAGCACAGAAAAGGTATAAAAATGACCAGATGGAAGAGCTTATAAATAATAAATAAGAAAGACGAATTTCTGTCAATGGATGCTAATCACATCTTTGCCATATATAGAACGTTCTTCCTATAGTTATCAACTGTTGTCTAATCGCTTCACTATTCGTATATTTTTCTATGATTTATTTATTTATTTTAAACACATCAACATTGGTACAAAAGGAGACCAACATATATATGGACCACAAAACATTTTCTATGGGCTGGAATATTGTGCCGGTGTCCAAATCGAAACGAGTCGTTTTCCTTAAGAGCCACTCCGCGAGCTTCAAGTTCAGAAGGCAGTGGAGCAACGTTAGGAGACCCATTCCCATGGTAGCCAGTGACCAAGAATACGTTCACACTCCATTTATTTTCTCAGGATTTTGGAGCCCATGTGTACCATTAGCTTGGGATTAGGACTTCCCAACTCCCTTATTATTATTATTAATGGCTTTATTAGGTGGATCCTCCGTAACCACCAATCCGGTTTAGGCACGTGTTATATCCCCTGGTGAATTATGAATGGTAACTCTAAGGTCTATTTATCGACCAATGTATTATGCCTATTTCCTATTGTACAATTGTTACGTAACTAAACTATTCATATTCGTATTTCTCTTATCATTAGCTTTATTTTGATCTTTGATTTATTATCATACGATTCTTGAGTTATAATCAGTTTATTGATTATTTTGTTTTGTATAAAAACTCAGTATGTTTGTAAATAATGATTCATATTGCCGAGGCTGTTATTTGTGTTCTGGACTCAACTGGCTGGGCTAGGCAGATAGGAAGGACCGAATAGCACCCAAGACTGCTCGTACGATTTCAAGTATCATTTGCGTCCGATCAATAAATTCACTCCTCTCTAATTGCACGTTCATATATATTACGAGTTCATACGTTATAACAACTGACGACGGGGTAAAAAATGGCTCTAACGTCCGAACAATTTCAGTTGCTAATCCAGCGACAAGAGCAGCGCTTTAGAAAGAGTCAATTGGAATTCATTGACAAGTTACATGCAAAGCAGCTGAATCACCCATGCTTTGGGGGTGCAACGGAAGTTGACGCATTAATTTCAAAATTGCGTACAGAGCTGGAAAACGATTGCAGAACGAATGAATATACCGGGGAAAGCCTCAATGAATCCGTGAAAAGCAATAATTTAAGCGAAACAACAGTCACATATGATCAGCCCAGTAGTCCAGTATTGTCTGTTTGAGAGGCATGCCCTATACGTGGCTCAAATCCTAAATTCCCTGAAACAAAACGTGCGAACAATGAATCGTCCAGTTCACAGAAAGACAATATCTTATTAGGCGCCCATAAAATTGCTGCAGTACCCGCCTACGAAGAAACGGGGAACAAACCGAGCAGTATAGTGAATACAGTGGCGCCAAATCAAACTAGTCATGATGCAAAAAACTTTTCTAATGAATCTAATGATCAAGATTATCTAATTGTTCTGCCAGATCCCGATTATTTTGCTGATTCATATGTTCCAGTTCAAATCTCTTATAAAAATGGGAGAAAAATATCGGATTAAATGATAATCAAGAATCCAATACAACTTTCATAGATACTGATTATCCTAATGATTCATTATTTACTAATGAGGTTCCGAGTAAATTCAAGGAAACTGTTTCAGAAGAATCAGACGCTGATGACCTCAAATCGAATGTCGTCGATCCTCACGATCTAATCAGTTCTGGTGGATTCTCAGTTAAATACGACGAATATATTTTAAATAATGTCATAATAATGGTAACTTGGGTACATGAGGATCCAACAGTCTTTCGTGGGGGGAGGGTGAATTCGAGAAATTAAAAATCCGGATGTCAACTCCGGATTTCTCAAAAAGGGGAAGTGTTATATCCCCTGGTGAATTATGAATGGTAACTCTAAGGTCTATTTATCGACCAATGTATTATGCCTATTTCCTATTGTACAATTGTTACGTAACTAAACTATTCATATTCGTATTTCTCTTATCATTAGCTTTATTTTGATCTTTGATTTATTATCATACGATTCTTGAGTTATAATCAGTTTATTGATTATTTTGTTTTGTATAAAAACTCAGTATGTTTGTAAATAATGATTCATATTGCCGAGGCTGTTATTTGTGTTCTGGACTCAACTGGCTGGGTTAGGCATATAGCAGGACCAGTTAGCAATCAAGACTGCTCGTAAGATTTTATGTATCATTGAACGTTTATGTATTAAGAGGACATACGTTATAACAGCACGTCACAGCCGGTTTTCTTTCTCTCGATTTTCTAAACAACAACCCTGCCATGAGAAGGCAGTGAGTAGGACTTTCCATATGAGAACATTTCGAGAAAGAGAGCTGAATCCCCCCACCTTCGACAGTACCAGTGCATTTGAGGGCCTGTTCTCATAGGTAAAGGATAATAAGAACTTCTACACTAGAATGTAGTCACTTTTTGGTTGTATACTGTTTGATTGAATAGGGCCGTAGTAAAATGGAAAGATAAGATATGCTAATTTCTGGCTGAAAAAATATAGAGTTGAGATCATGAGTCAATTGAAGCTAGACCACCATGGAAAACCTGGAAGCACTGGACGGCCGTTTTGTCCTATTATGGGACTCCTTAGCAGTAACCAGTGGAGTTCAACCAGGTCTGTTGTGAGATAGTAACTCACTGATGACATTGGTGAATGGTTGCTCAATTTCGTGAATCAGTTGAAGTTAGACATTAACACCGTTGGATGCCAGCTCAGTGGTCTATTGGTTAAGGGCTTCGGCTCGAAACTGGCAGGTCTTGGGTTCGAATCCCGCGAGAGTGGGTTCGTGGATGCGCACTGCTGAGGAGTCCCGTAATAGGACAGAACGGCCGTCCAGTGTTTCCAGGTTTTCCATGGCGGTCTAGCTTCAATTGACTCATGATGTCAACTCTATAACTTACTAAAATCTCCACAAAACCCCTTCTGATAAAAAAATATAGTTTAGATAAAACAAAACATAAGTCCTACCAAAACCTGTTGATGAAAACTAAGCTTAACAAGCTGGAAAAACTTTCATTGGCCGGTGAACCAGTCAGCTTTCACAGGCCATGTATATTTGAGACGAAAATAATCACTTTAGATCGATTTATTGGGAATTTCAATAATTATATTATTCAGCATTGGCAAGATTTTAGACTACTCAGAGGTATCACTAATTCTGATTGTGAAAACCAAATAACCAAAAAACAAAGCACAGTCTCATGAGATGTGGTAGTAATAGTGATATACTGTGTATTGGATAAAAAAGGCAGTAACACTGCATACTTTCTTTTGCTTGTTCAAAAATGATATTACGACAGATCATATATTAATTATTCAGTGAATAATGATGACATGAGCGGATCACCGGAGTACCAGGAGTGCAATGGCAACAAATTATTAGAGATATTAATCTGAAATGATGTCAATTTTAAAACTTCAGCTTGAAAATGTTGGTCGAATGATTCGAATAGACGAAACTGCTATTCGGAACGTCAGGTGTAAAGAAGGAAGGAGTCCAGTGATAAAATGGATGAGTAGTATTGTCTTCAATCTAACTAGCAGATTTTCGTAGTTCGTAGCAAAACTCTACAAAAATATCACTTGTAATACGCTAAAATCAAATGAATTTCATCCTAATACTTATCATTAGGAAGTACGTGCAACGAGGAACTACGATTAATACTGACAATTAAGGAAGCATACAGATGTCTTCGAAGATTCAATTGCAATCAACAGGATGTCATACATAAGAATCACTTCATTAACTGTTCAAGTAAAATTCAGTTGATGTAGTCAAGATTAAAGGACTATCGTCGACATCATAATGTTTCCAAGGTGTAGAATCAGTCCTACAGATCAGTAACGGACCGAAGAGCTCGATCATAACGTCTCGAACTGTGAAGCTGGGTGATACAGGAAGGAATGCCTAAAGGAATAATAAACTTGCTCAAAATTACAACAGACACATCTTAGTGATGAGTCCTAATTAGCAAAAAACCCTGCTTAAACAGGATTTCTCGCCAATTACCTCTAACCACTCACTACATTAGAATTAACTAATCAATATTCTTCGATTCTCTATAACCTTTTTAAATGTTGTAACAACAAACATGATGAAAATTATGGTTATAGCAGAAAATTCCCTGAAATTGAAAGAAAATATATCGAAAAACAGATTTCATACGAAAAAGAACAAAAACCAATCTACCTTTGTAATATTCATATTCATCAAGTTCAAATTTTCTTTCAGTGTTTTGATCAACTAGTGATTAAACGGGAATAACAGACAATTCTAGTACCAATACTATTAATAATAATGATAACAAAATTGATGTTTCAAAAATATCAAAAGTCAATAGTAAATGGGAAGAGTGCTCTATTTTAATTCACTATAAGAATTCAGCGATGTGGAATTTTCAGAAAATATATACATGTTGTTACACTACTAGAATCACAAAAACACAGCATCAGTTTATGCAGAAGATTACACAATTATATTATGTTATCAAATGTCAGCCATAACACTTAGATTGAGCTCAGTGGTCTATCGGTTAAGTGCTCGCGCGCGAGAATGATAGGTCCTGGGTTCGAATCTCGCGAAGCGGGACGGTGGGTGCGCACTGCTGAAGAGTTTCGCAATAGGACGAAACGGCTGTCCAGTGCTTGTACGAAGTTCTACGTTGTAACTGACTGACTGACTGAGGATTCATAACAGACCGCTCTTCAACTATCTAATGCTATTTGATTATTTTGTAGTAGTCAATTTCATATTGTCTAGTTCTTATTTTTCAATTAAATCCTTTTAATCAACCTGAATTATAATTATCAGTTCACTAATTATTTAACGTAAGAGTGATGTAACTCATTTACCAAATACAACTTTATACATTGAACTATTAACTAATTTATCAGATACAGATTCATGTATTTGGCTTTAAGTTTCATTGAAAATGTGGGGGTTGATAATACTATTCAGTTGTTAAATCGAGGTAAGTGGAAAGGAGTTAATATGTGCAATTTACTGGCTAAAAGTAGGATGGCTTAACCACTAAGCTATCACTCTAACTGAACTATAGGCCCCAGTATGTCAAAGCCAATGATACTACTCAGCTCTTTAATGCAACAAAGATGGAGCAGGGTCTCAATGTACATTTTTTATGGTTATAGATTATTTGAACCAATTAGCAAGAAACATTAGATTTAAATGTTGTGCCAGTTAGTGTTTGTCAGTAAGGTGTAAATACAGTAAAATCGGCGCATAAAAAAAAAATTAATGTATCCGGTAACCTGCAAATTTATTCACAAATTTGGTACCAGAAAAAATTATTCGCAGAAACTTTATAGCAGAATTACATTCATAGACTCTTTTTTTGTGTAGCATATATAGTATTGTTTTACGTATCTATTTAATCCTGGATAAGTGGTCAATTATTTAACATCGTGTACGCGTAGAGAAAAGTGTTCACTGATGATATGTGGTAAGAAAATTAAAATTAATTTCTATGTTATAACTACACTAAACATGTATAAATGATCAATGACTCAATTAGATAGGTACTTTATGCTGAGAATTCGATTTTGTACCAAATAATATAATATTGAATCAAGCTAATAATAATAATAATAATAATTAGCATGTACAGATTAATTTCCTTGGCTTTAAGGCACATGCACATAGTGTGTGAGGGCTAGTGATAATAGTACTTCAGTAATTTACAAACCAGACAAGTCTCAACGGAATATATATATTAAGAGGTAAACTCCGCCTGGAGCTGCTCTTGGACTACTGCCAGTTCGAAGCCCGAATAAAGGAGAGGGATTGAGCATGGGGTTAGCGACCTTATCCCTTAAAAAAGTAACTCGCTTAAAAAACGCTAACCAGAAAAAAATATTTAGACGGAATACTGACTGTTTATGAAATATATACACTGAGTCATCAATCTATTATATATTCTTGTTGTGGACAGTCTTCTTTAGCTTCTCTTCTGGTCTCACAACTATTCCAAACTCGCCGCCCTTCAGCTTTTCTGAAACTTCTGTCTTCGGATGACGATTGCAGCAACTCCAATGCATGCTACTTATAAGCATTTTTGTGAGTAGCGTCCACTATACTACTACTGTTGTAATGAACGACAATACAGGTGAGGATAACCGATGTATTTGGATACAAAATTACAAAATATCTCGGCAAAATATGAGAATCATACACTATATACTTCATTTGCAAATTTCCGTCATTTGTCCTTCACATTCTGTATGATTCTTCCAGTTCAAAAATTTTTCTATTTCCCCTTCTATTCTGTTTAACTTGATCTTCTTAACCTTCTGCTGCCAGGTTTTCCACCTCGGATTGGTGTTACATATTACTATTACTACTCAGTTGCTTACACCGAATTATGTGGAGCAAAGTGCAGACTACAACTAAACGGCTGAAAGTTGAACTCTATGACCAATAACCTAATGGTTCACCGAACACATCAATAAGTTGAATTAAACGTATACACAATCAACGGAACTTTTTAAAATTAATATGAAGAAAGTCAAAAACAAGAACTTACATCATTCAAATTATTTTTTATTTGATTTAAATCATCCAATGTGGTTCCTAATCTCTACAATGAAAACAGATTACATTTTTATATACGTGTAGAATAAGAATTACATAAAAGTCGTAAAGTAATAAGTGGATATTTTATATAGTTGAAATCATGAGTCAATTGAAGCTAGACCACCATGGAAAACCTGGAAGCACTGGACGGTCGTTTCGTCCTATCGTGGGACCCCTCAGCAGTGCGCATCCACGATCCCACCTCGCGCTCAAGACTGATAGGTCCTGGGTTCGAATCTCGTGAGGCGGGATCGTGGATGCGAACTGCTGAGGAGTCCCACAATACGACAAAACGACCGTCCAGTGATTTCAGGTTTTCTATGGTGTTCTAGCTTTAATTGACTCATGATTTCAACTATATAAAATTACTAAAATCTCCAAAAAACTCCCTTCTAATAATAAGTGAATCGACAGGCTTTTTATACGCTTGCCTAACCAGCAATCTAATTAATAAAACTTGGAAACTGTAACTGATAAAACTGAGCAGTCGAGTACACAAATCATCGGTATATTGTTAGGGATGTTAGATCCCCAGAACTCATTTCAAAAATGACTTATTTGTGTTTTTTTGTTGAAAATTTGAATTTCTTTGTTTTCGCGCCATCATCACCTTCATGTCGTATTTCCCACTTGGGAAAATCTTAAACACTATTGGTCCGTTATGTCTTTTAGTATGCTATTTTGTAACGCTTCCCAAGGACAATTTCATGCTGTATATATATATATACGTTTGATTTCTTCCTGTTGTGATTGCTTGTGCTACTGGCTGCTTACGGAATATATCTTCATCACTTCCAATTTGAACTTCTCACTCTAGTTAGCGGGGCCGGGGACAACGGATTAGAATAGCCTATTGTCTCACAGTGTCTTGACCTTCATTCCGTTTACCGAGTAAGGACATGGAAGCTGAGATTTTGAGTGAGTGAACAATCAATGTCCTACTGTAGTGAACGAAGGCTCAAGTAGGGATGGCCAATTTATTGTTTAGTGCAAAATTACAGTGTTTTGGCAAAATATGAAAGCTATACATCAAACACATAATTTGCACATCTACCATCAGCTGTCCTTTGCATGCTTCATGATTCTGTTAATTTCGTTGTTATTACAGTTACTTTCTGTTTTCTTCAATTGAATCTTCCCAATCTTTTGTAGACATGGACTCCACTTTCGATTAATGCCACATACTACTTATATCTGTTAACATAAATAACATAGACCACACTGCAACATGTGCCATGTTTATCGTTTATCATTTGATAGTGTGATATTATGTGAGTACAGGTATACAGTACAACTAGACTCTTTCGGTACACCGTCATCATAAGCTAATATCAGCTGAAGAGAGTGACCGATGTCATGTTTATCCAATCTTTTAATGGTGATTGAATTATATCGATCACGTTGCAATGTCTTAACCACTAATGTAAGTAACAAAGTTCCTTATCGACCACCTCCAACTACTTTAACAAGCTCTTCATATCCATCAACTGGTAACCTACAAGTTAGCTGCAAATTTTATAAAATATCAAAGTTACCCTCTACAAACAAAAATCAATGCAGCCTACCTGATTGGATGAGTGAAGAGAGGAAGTTATATCTTGAAAGGAGTACTCAGTAGTTGGCTAAGATGAGACAAACAAAAGATAACAAAAAATAAAGTTACTATAGAAGTCACAAGAATAAATTCCTAATTAGTGTATATTGATGATAAATGGAATTCTCACTATAAGTAGACATAAAACGACCCTACGAAATTCTACCAAGTTATCAACTTATGTTTATACAGGTATTAATAGATGGAAACAATTTTTTATTGATTTTACGAACCGATATAAGAGAGACAATCATTAAAAAGCTAGAAGCACTAGACGGCCGTTTCGTCTCAGTATGGGACACAACCACTGGGCATCCACTACCCCGCAACCAGGAATATGACCCAAAACCTTCGGCCTCGCGTTTGAAACCCTAACACCTAGAGCATCGAGGTAGTATCTAATGGTTTAAAAATCTAATTTCAATCAATTATTAACATTGCACGACCATCTTCGGTGGGTAACTCCCTCACAGCTGATACAGTTGAACTCCACTCGTCACGGCTTATCATTAAAACTCAGGGAATTTTCTGTCGAAGCTATCCACTAGTGAGCACATGATAATTATCCGTATAGGGTTGTGGAAATTGTTGAGGCTCATTGATATCACGAACTAATTTAAGTTAGACAACCATTGAAATTCTGGAAGTACTGGACGGTCTCCCATCACGTTCACTGTAAACTCCTACAGAGTCCCATACTAGGACGAAATAGAAGTCCAGTGTTTCTAGGTGATCAATGGTTGTCTAACTTACATCGGTTAGTGAAATTCAACAATCTCCATAACCCCATACTGATAACATTGGTTTCGGGACGAGTCAGACAGAATCAAGGAAACTAGTTTCGAGTTTTTTTGAGAGATTCAAAAATGGATTAATTTTATGTTTCACTATAAAAAATGAGGGATAGAAATACTTTTTATAGCGCTCAAAATATTTAGAATTGTCGGTCATCATCGGGTAAAATTGCTAAAGTAAGCGTATTCAGTATTCGTATTTTTATACATGGGCTTTACATAACACATGATTCATTCACTTTTCGCTTTCGTATTATAGCGAAATCACAAAAAACGTATTTTATTAACGGTTCATTGGAATAACATACAACCTGGTAAATTAAGAATGCCGAAAGAGACAGTGACTTTTGCATACAACTTCTTCATATTAATAATAGCTACAAAGATAGTTTGTTGATAATTTTACCTTTGTAACTCCTCAATAGATTGATTAAAGCAGATTCTATAGTGATGATTATTTAAGGCTACGAGAAAGACTTAAAAGGAAACATTTAGTATGAATGAAATCCTATCCAGATCAATAGTGTTATATAAATATAGATCAATAATAACAAGAGAAAACTGATAATAAGCTTTGGAAAACTATTTATCTTCTTAAAATGATTGAATTCTAACACGTTTTTCTTAGTTCTATTACGAAACACATTTGATTGATACAGGCTCTCTGCTGATTAGTTAAAGGAAAAAATGGCTTGAGAACCGTACGGTCATGATGGAAAAAAATAGCCCAAGCTCATCCGTACATATTAAAACTTAATCCATTCTGCATAAACTAGACTAAATAAACATACTTGACTGGTAGCAGAAGTTAAGTGAAGTGTTGATGCATTTTGCTTATCAAGTTGACGAAAACGTAACCATGTAGCGCTAAAACCAATCAAACCAGCAGCTAAACTGAATCCAACAGTCCATTGTCGCATTCGGCTAGCCTGAATACGTTCTTCAGCTTGTGAATGACGTAAAATACTAGAGAATTGTTCAAATGTTACTTTTTCAGCTAATTCAATAGACGTTAACTTATCACGAGCTTGTTGGTGTCGACGTGAAAGCTAAAATTTATCATATATGAACAAGAGAAGAATACACTTCACTTATCTTTTTAACTATGAGAAAATCATGAATAGGTGTACATCATAATCAGAAAATGAAATCATATTCAATACAATAGTTGATTTGAGTGATGAGGTAGTGAATCTTTATCGAATGAAATGATTGGGATAGATATATTATGTATATTTGACTATCGACTGCCTGGATGTGTTAGGTTGGAAGAAAGCTCGAGACGGTCAGACCGAAAGGTGGCATCAGTCCATTAAGTCAATCACTATTAAATTGAGGCGTATAGATTTATGCAGACTATGTGGTTGAGGTTTATCAGATAATTACGACCAATTGTTAAACATGTTAGGGCACATGACTGATAATCAGTTGAAATGACATAGAAATATTCATCTTTCCTCTTTACTGTGATCGTGAGTTTGAAAATTGTCGTAGTTTTTTCCCATTCAACACATTCATCCGCTCTCTTACTATCGCTAATAGCGTCATTGCTTCTACTATTCTGACATTTATTTAAATAATTTTATCTTCCTGTGCAGATGTAGTTTGGCAAACTGCGATACTTGAAAATCATATGACATTTATAAAGAATAGATAGGATAAAGCTAGAAAAGGAGTCTCGAAAGCGGGTTTCACCCTACTTGGGACTAGTCAGCTGAATTGTTTGGTTGTCTAGCTTTCGTTGTTCTTCTGAACAACATCATCAGCACAAACGTCAGGTAGAAGTGAAGAGTTCGAATTTCGCCACATATGACTCACAGCTTGTCATGTCAACCTCGATCTTGACTAGTTATTGCTGACGCAGTTGATTTTATGAGTTTTTGGGTTGTTGCTACTGTAATTGAGAATTTGATCTGTCCAGATCGGATTCCAATGTACTTTAGTCTCCAGTTTTTCTGTGTCCGTTCTAGTGATCCAAGAATAATAGTTTGTTGTTCGACTCCTTTTCCATTATGAATTTCATGTTACCGAAGACGTTATTAACCAGATTGTAGGTGTTTTCCAGCAAGTCCTTTTTAATGATGACGAATGTGCCGTCCACATAACAAATCCACATTTTTGGCTTGATAACTAGTAAGATCGAGGCTTCCAGTCTCTGCACCACTACTTCCGCAATAAGTCCTGATATTGGTGATCCCACTGGTATTGCTTTCGTTTATTTGTTGATTTTATTGTAGAATTGAAATTGCATTGTTAAGAATAAATCGATGAAATCTGGTAAACTTTCACCTTGAAGCTTCATGTACTTTGGGAGATTTGTGTCATTGATGAGGAGAAGGAATACAGTTTTATTCTTCACTAATCTTGCTTTGATATTTGTCCAGCTTTGACAGGCTTATTTAAAGTCCTAGAAATCGGTTTGCCTAACCTTTTTTGATTGGATTTGTGTTCATCAATTTATATGCTCTTCTGTACTCAAATAGTTCCTCGGCTATCCTGATATGTTCTAATTTGTCCATATTTATTGTAGTCCGTCCTTTGTTCTCTGTAACTATGACAATATCTTCTCTAGTTCTGAAGTTTATTAAGGCTTTCTGTTCTTTTGCGATCAGTTGGATGTTGTCTTTCTTCCGCCGAGTTAGCGGTACTATAATTTGTTTTATTTCCTGCTGAATTTCTTCATTTATTCCATTTTTTGAGTGGTGAATAAAGTGCAGCGAAGAATTCTAGTTTTGAAGCGTCACTTGTATCGTAGTTCAGTCCTTTTCGGACGAAATTTTCTTCTATGTTCGTCAGGGGTTGTTTTGATAGGTTGACCACGCAGTTGTTTGTGTTTTCTTCTATGAGTGGTTTTTCTTTGAGTATTTCTTCTTTGTGTCATCTGCTTGATATCTAGATCGCTGTTGTTAATATTTTCAAATGTTCTGATGTGGGTATCCTTTATAGCTTCCTCTTCTGATCATCCATGATGTGTTGGTATTTGTGGATCCTTTAGCGTGCATCAGATACCATCAGGTGTACCATTTGCTTTCTACTTTGCTCAGCTATTCTCCATTCTATCGGGAAGTCGATTAGTGGTCTGTATCTTACACCTGTTGGTAGAATATACTGACGAAGACACTCATGGATAAAATAGAGTTGTTCCTCAGTGGAAGCCTGTCTTTTGGCGAAATTAACTCACCTTCGAAAACGAGAAGCGAGCTAAGCTCATATGATTTTGAGATGGAGAGGAGATGATGTCCACTCAGAGATTTAGACCTAGAATCTCTCACTTCAAAAGTTAACACGTTATTCAGTTAGCTACTGAATCCAAATGGTTACACAATTGTGCAATGTATATGACTTTCTGATTTAATATTTAGTTTTTTGAATGATCCCATGATTCATAATTTGATCAACTCTGGGATGTGGCAGATACATAGAGTTGATGAGTCCCAAATAAGCCTCAACCCGCATCCTGGACTCCACCACTAGCTACATTTCATCTGTTCTATGTAAGCTTATGTCATATTTGTAGGTTGTTCAAAAGAAATTCGGAAGATAGGGATAACCAAATCAAGACTTGAGACTAGTCTATGAAGTCAATGACTGCTAGTCTACGCCTTATTGTTAAATGGATACTACTCAGTTAGAATCTACCTAGTAACCGCGATTAGTTATTGAGGACACTGGGTAACATGCCTTACAGTGGCTAATATACATATGCACTCAATCTTTATCCTCCTTCAGATTTTCAGCTTTAGTATTCCTTCATGGATATTTCATAAATTCTTTTCCAACTATATTCTCAGTGTTTAATCTTTCATTACATCATTGATAACACTGTTATTTAGAATCTTGTTATTTATCATATTCATTACATCTGGTTATGTTAACATGGTTCGAGAACTTGCGCCGACGAATATTTGAACCGTGCTGTACATCGATTATGAGTGACTGACTAGTTTGGCTTCTGTAAACAATAGAATTCAAAAAACAGGTATTATATACAGATGAGTTGTAAGTTAGCCACTTGTAAGTAATACTGTATAATTTAAAGCACATTGTCAAAGCGTAATTACGAAAAGAAATCAAATGATTATTTACCTCGTGTAATTCGGTAACTAATTTCAAAAAATTTTCATCACTACGTTTAACACTATCTAGTTGTATGTTAATTCGATTTCTAGCTTCTTCTAACTGAAAGACTTCTGTTTGACAAGCTCTCCTTTCGACTTGTTTTTGTACAAAGTTTCTTTCAGCCTATAATTCGAGCGAAAAGAGTAAAAGCATTGGGAATATGTCGTTAAATATTCAAAATTACACTGTATATATATATATATATAAGATAACAGAACATGAGCTTTATACATTTGAGGAAAAACAAACAGGCAAAAGAAATCGGTATAATGGTGTGAAAACAGCGTAATAAAGCATACATAGGTGTTTCATCAGTATAACAATCAGTCAAGAAGGTACAAAAAGAAACGTTCACTTCCCAGTCAATTTATGATTTAAAAAGTGACTCAGAGTGAATCGCAATCTGTACAGTAATGATTTGAATATTTAGACGAATTTCAAAGTACTTTTTTGTTCATGAACCCATTTACGCCTTGTTTTAGAAGTAAAATACGCTACTGTTGTACTTGAGAGTGACTACCTTATCTCTTGAAGAGAATCAGGACATTATATTTCGTCTACAGGAAAATATTGACTGAGAGAGATTGGATCGTAAAACATGACTTACTTCAGCGACTCCAACATGTAAAGATCTAACACGATCCAATCCGGTTAGATTATCGTAAATTTCATAAATTGGATGATAGTCCATAGATTTTAGTTTTTCACACGAGTTAATAATAGACTGTCTAACAACAGCTGGAAAATTCACAATTTTGTTTACTAATCGCATGGGTAAATTTGGAAGCATGGTTTGAATTGAAACACCTAAAGGAAAGTAATTTGATGGGTGACAGTTCATAACACTGAATAAGCACCACAAAATGAAGTAATCGTATAGAAATTTATTTGGAAACTACTCTTAGACGAGTAATCACACCTTTATCAAAGTATTTATTTTAATGAATTAATATTCTTCATCCTTACTAAAATGCTACTTCAACTTTACCGCATATAGATAAATAACAACCGATGAGAATAACCAGATATACAGTGATATTACCTGCCATTACTTTATTAAACTGATGAGAACCACGTCGATGTTATATTCTGATTAAACAGGTTTCGATAACATAGCTGGTTTAGGTTAGTACGATAAGGCAGAAACAAAACACATAAAGTGAGAACATAAAACCATCTCTTCATACTACTCGAAATGAGATGTCAGATTGGTTGGGACTACCTTTACTCTTTACATTGATGAACATCTGAAAGCAGTGGATGAAGGTAGTGTAATTTGTTTCTCGGAGAAAGATTTCAATCTTTAGACTTCAAACGATATCGTCTTAATTTTAAATAGGGTGGAAAGAATTAAAAGCGACCAAATCAAAACGTACCATCAGTCTATGAAGTTATTGATCGTTCGACTCAGTCATGTTAATAACTGTAGACTACTAGGTTGAGGTATATGAGATAATTTTGATCAGTTGTTGAAAAAGTTGGATGACAAGAGACAGAATAGGTCGTTATGATGCAGATTTATTCACCCTTTGACTATTTCTAGGTCGTGAGTTCCAAAATTACTTTGCAGTTTTTATTTGATTCTTTTTTCTTAAACTTTTTATTACTAGTGATACTGTAGTGAACAGAACACTGGTTGGGGACAATCGAATGTATTTAAGCAAAGATTACAGACTATCTCAGTAAATTCTGATAACCAAACAATGAACAGTCAATTTGCAAATTAACAATCAATTGTTTCAATCTTCACTGTTTCTTCTCTTATTCCATTGCCAATGTATTTTCCAAACGATTGAGCTTCATTTCAGTTCTTTGCTCTTCGGTCTTCTGCCAAAATACATTCTATGTCTGACCACACCATATACTACTCACATGGATATAAGTAGACCACACCACAATACTACCGTAGTTTTGATATTGGCTTTACTAACTTCATCTCACTGTCGTGATATGATGTGACAAGTTGCGATAGTATACAGTTAAACCGGGATATACGTTACTTATAAATGACCAACAACATGCAGACTACTCAAATCTCACTCACCGAATTGACGGGTAGTGTTTATAAGGTGAAATATGTTTTGAAATACCATAAAGTGGAACACATTTTCCAAGGTAAGGATCAGCCTATACTCACGCTGTGTCGAAAAAGGTGATCTTGCATGCATGCTTACTCTTTCAGGGACGGTTGAATCTAATCTACTTGTTGCTAACTTTGCTAGTCCAGTAGTAGCTTTATATCGTTACGTTGGGAGTTGCGTATGTGAACTGTGATAGACCAATAGTCTACGGCTTTCGTCCAACCTGCTTTATGGTGTAGGAGCAGGTTGGAAGAAAGCTAGGGGTGGTCAGACCAAAACATGGCATAAATCCATGAAGTCGCTGACAAGTGGACTGGGCCATGTTGGTAGGTGTAGACTACCTGGTTGGGATTCGCGAGATGATAGCAACCGATGGTTAAAGACCCTGAATGACATGGCTCAAAATCGTTTGCAGTGGCGAAGGTGCATACACTCTTTGCGTTCTACCAAATTCTAATCTTCTGAATTCTTCATGTCCGTATCGTTTTTCTCTTTCCAAATTTATTTCACCGTATTATACTTTTTCAATAACATCTTCAAACCCTTATCTTTCACATAATACTTATACTCTTACTACTTCTATCAATATGGAATTTGAATCGACAACTTTATCTCTGTGCTAATGTGGTATGGCAACTCGAACTGATGTACGTACGTACGAAGTTCTACGTTGTAACTGACTGACTGACTGACTGACTGACTGGGTGTTACGAAACCCAAAGACAAAGTGAGCGTAAAAGTTCAGCTTGTCTGAAGTAAACTTATAGCTGATATAATCACTACTTTGTTCAAACTAACATATTTATTTGAGAAAGTTAGCAGCCAAATCACCAGACAGTCCTGTTCATCTAATAAAGGCTGCTGAAACAGCCACAAGAACTGTTTTAAGAAAAAGTATACATCGATCCATTGATTTTGGAATCATTAAGTTCATGTATAACTACCGTTGATAATATTTTATCTTTGATTTGAACAACAGAATAAAAATAGCTATGAATAATTTCTTCAAACAAGGTGAATTTTCATTATCATATATCCAAAAAGAATCAAACGAAGTTTAAACAAATGTTTAAGTATGAGTTGAAACAACAACGATAAGATCGAAAATACTGCTAGGTCGTGAACCTATTAGACAGACGTTTGAGTAGAAATGAACTTCTACTGCTTAAAAGATCTTAATTTCGGTATGAACGAGTTAAGTTTGTTGGCCTCTGAAACCATTTCGTCGGTTGAGCTTACTTTTAACAGTATTCATGATGAATAAGCGAATGTGATGAGAAATAAAATCTTAGTCACGTTGTCCCGCTGAAAACTTAATGTTGCTGATTTATGCAAAGATAAAAGGTACCTACTCATACAATTACATTGAGACAAAAGAATTGTCTTCATAGAGGCGAATGAGGGGAACATTAAGGTTATTATGGAGAGATTCGATTATAAAAGAAAAGCCAATGGAAATTTTCACTATGAACAATATAAAAAAAACAAAAAAATAAATGCCGAATCATGTTGAACAAATTGAAGACTAGAAGAAGCAAAACAGCATAGATTATAAAAAGCTATACAAGGACCTTCATTGTGGTTTACTCATCCTCTAGAAAGCTGAATTGTTTATAGATTCTATAAAATAACAAAAAATTATAAGACAAATGTGGCTCTTAAAACAGGAGTCAATAGCAAAAATTCAACATATTTTTCGAAATACTTAGCCAGAGTTTTTAGATTATGTGAAATTGAAGTGAACTTTTGGATCAAAAGTTCGATTAAATTCAAATAAATTACTAATTCCGCCCATATTGAAGATGAACTAATGACAAGTTTTAATGTCCGTCGCTTATTCATTGGTGTTTCCCTCTAATAAATCACTGAATACTATACACAGCCACCTAGAATCTAACACCAATTAAAATTAGTAATCTTTAAATCCCTTTGATAGTTTTAATGCCTTAAAATTATGATCAGGTTTTACTTTATTAGGATTTTGAAATTTTTACAAATGGACTGATGCAGCTTTGAGATCAAGAGTTCACCAAATCGTTTACAACTTATTTATACATTCATCGAAAGCAAACGTGATCTGAAAACGTATAATTCTACCTAAAATCTCGCTAAAGTATGTGGATGACGTTTTCATTACCACAAAAAGAGATGGATTAGATTAACTTTCTATACATAACAACAGTACATTAGAAAGTATCAAATTCACTAGGAGGATCGAATGTGAAGACCGAAAACCAACATCTTTTGGTTTTTAATGGAAGGAAAACAACAAGCTTTTAATGTGCATTTTTCCGAAAACTAATATTCCAGGAAATATTTGGATTGTCTATTGAAGAAGGGTGCGCCTGAGAAGTTCATTAACATCTTAAAGGCCCTGTACACGAACACCTCAGGCAGAGTGAGGGCATACAACCACCTTTCTCCCTTGTTTCATTCGAGCAGTGGGGTTAGACAGGGTTGCCCGATCTCATCATTCCTCTTCAACTTTGCCATCGACGACATCCTGGAAACAGCTCTGGTGGATGTAAGTAATGGCGGTGTGGATATGTTGCCTGGGGAACGACTTCTCCACCTCGAGTATGCGGATGATATTGTCTTACTGTGCGATAATGCCCAAGGCATGCAATCCGCACTTAATCAGTTGGCAATCAGTGTCCGCAGGTACGGCATGTGCTTTGCACCCTCCAAGTGCAAAGTGCTCCTACAAGACTGGCAGGATTCTAATCCTGTACTCACCCTGGATGGTGAGGAGATCGAAGTAGTTGGGAAGTTCGTGTATCTAGGTAGCTATATAAGTGCTGGTGGTGGCGTGAGTGATGAGATTGATGCACGTATAAGGAAAGCCAGAGTAGCTTATGCCAATCTGGGTCATCTTTGGCGCCTTCGTGATGTTAGTCTGGCTGTAAAAGGTCGGATCTACAACGCGTCGGTGAGAGCAGTTTTGCTCTATGTTTGTGAAACCTGGCCTCTCCGAGTTGAGGATGTTAGACGACTCTCTGTGTTCGATCATCGTTGTCTCCGAAGGATTGCTGACATCAGTGGCAACACCATGTTAGTAATGCAGAGGTTTGGCATCGTGTGTTCGGGCGCAGAGACGATAATTCAATTGGTGTCACCATCTTGAAACACCGACTTCGGTGGCTTGGACATGTTTTACGAATGTCGTCCCAGAGACTTCCACGTCGTGCATTATTTGCCGACCCTTGGGACTGGTTGGAAAAAGCGGAGAGGAGGTCAGTGTATGACATGGTGTCGTGGCATGAAAGAGAGCTGCAAAGGGCTAGCTTCTGTTGGTCCTTCACGACTCCCTGGCTGGGGTCCGAGAGATGGTGCAACACAGTGGCTAGAGACGTTATCAGATATGGCTCAGAATAGAAGCCAGTGGCGATCCTGCTGCAACCTTCTTTTACTTTCTTCATAAAGAATGGTTCTAACTTTCCTAACTGAAAGAGCCTTCTGGTTGTACATTTCAGTCCGCCTTATCTTTTCATCCCTCCTCTTCCTACTTTCATTATTTTGTGTGGCGCATATGTACCTGGTGCCCTTTTGTACTAATATATATGTGTTTAAATAAAAAATAATAATTTGGATAACAGATCAGTACATGTTATATCAACAAAGTGAGTAGTTAGGAATCTGATGGACAGAGTTCAGAAACTCATCGTAGGACCAAAAGACAAAGATCAAGTCCGATTTAGCGTTTACTTTGATGCAGAATCAACAAAACTATACTATGCGGAGGGCCTTAAGGGACGTAGACATTAAATGGTCAGAGAACAGCCAATTAAAATGAAGATTTATAAGGTGGTTTTAGAGTAAAAGCAATGATGAAATTACAGAGGATTACATGTTTTGACACGATAAACGGAATTCTACCTGAATTATGTGCTGGTGTTTTTCAGAAGGACAATAAAAGCTTGAAGACCGAACCATCCAGCTCAAACAAAACTACAACTAAATCAACCACCTAAGTTACAAGTCTCCCCCAACTTGAAATCGGCTTTATCCTAACTGCTAAAGATAAAACTCCATAACCCCAGCTCCTAACCTTAATACTCGACGCTAATTCCTATAACCTAAATTTAAATCTTTAAGTACTAACCATAATAGTTTATTCAGCGAGACTATAATTTACGGATGACCTTTAAGTGATGCTACATTGACCTTGGTAATGCACACTCACTGGGTTACAAACAAGTGTGAGGAATAAGGAATAAGATTTAAAGGCGTATGTTAAGATTAGAAGCTCGATTCAAGGTTGTTTTCATCACGAAATGACATCGGCTATAATGCCTAAGACTTAGCCAAATGAATTAATGAGTTTCGCGCCAAAATCCAAGACTTGTAATGTTAACTCTGATTGATTCGTCCATAAATTATAGTCTCTCCGTTTCATCTACAAGAAAGCCATCATCACATCATCTCGAAACACAAAATATGATCAAAATAATGAGTTATAGAAACAAGCTATAATCAGTAACGTTTCAAATCGAAGCCCATATTTAATGTCAGCTCTATTAACATCGTATTGCTGCCTATGACCATCGGTACGGTATTACGCCACAGACTATAAAAGATATAAAAAATTCAAAACCATACCAGCCGAAGGATTGATAAACTCGGTGGTTATTTCGGATAACGTAGCAAGTTTAGAAATCACAGGTACTAAGCCATTATAGTGAGTACTTACTTACAAATATATTAATATATTTAGTTCTAAGTTGGAAAATGTTGAAGGCATAATGCAAATGGAAAGATAACAGAATTGTTTCTATGAGACTTGTTAGCTACGTGTTTGTACGCCTGATTTTAAGTAAATGCACTCAACCTTCATCTACCACTTCTTAAGCTTGAAAGGGTCCACCACCAGGCTTAAGAGATATACCTAAGCTAACGACAAGTCAACACGTGAAAATAAGAGCCAACACATGATGCAACCAAAACTCGTATTTGCACCTACACAATGAACAGTACGATTACCAAACACAGCAAAGGAGGAATATGCTGACTAGTTCATACATGGCCATTAAACGTTGACAGTTTAATATCCCAAAATGTAATGAGCCGGCTTAGTGACCCTGAATTCAAAAACGCAACGACCTTCAAAATCACATAAAAGAACAGATTTAAGATTTGTGTAGTAACGACAAAGGGCCTACGGTCTATATTTTTCCTTTTCTGGTATGCTTCTGTGAGTGTCTAGTCTTCTCTTGAATGGGTAAATTGATGGCGCAGACACCTCAGCTTCGGATAACGGGCTCCTACAGTTGATGACTTGATGTGAAAACCTGTATGCCACTAGTATTTTGTTCGTTATTGGCTTTTATACTCACATGCTATGCCCTCTGAGATGCCCTGATCTAGTGGGAAGAAAAAGAAGGAATATATTAGATCCAAAGTCATTTCTTAGTATTCTTTACTTCAAAATCAGATAACCTCTCAATCTTCGATAGGACAAACAAAAGAGATCTAGATTTCCAAGTCGCTTTATTTACGGTAAACTCCGGAATTCCAGAATCGCACGGGTAGCCGCCCTCTGCAAGTTTCCAGAATATCAGAGTCACCTTTTAAAGAGGGGCTTGCAGCCTGAATGCAATTTTCAAGCTTAGTCCTCATTCAGATTGCGTATACTGTGGTGAACGTGGTAGTATCTAACTTAGTCCATAAGGTTCTTAACTTATTAGCTGCAATTTTCTGGCAATAAACTATGGTTTTAAGAATATGATGAAGATACCACAGGTATTGTAGTTTGACAACACTTTACCAGCAACACCTTCTATAATAAATCATGCCCACACAGTGAAATCAAGAGTCAGAAGCAAGGAGGTTGAAAGATATATTTGATGGATTATCAATATATCGAGGAGTGACTGATCTAATCCGGCTAGTGGTCGCAGGAGACGTTGAGCACACCATTACAAACCGTGATCTGGTACGAATGCATGACCGAGCGCCTTCAGCTAAGTGTGTCCATTAAAACTAATGTTGTCAGCATTCATTGTCGAACATTTACAGAGCTACTGATTTTGGGGATTTATTTACCGCTACAATGACTCACTGTCACCCCAAGATTCTTGTGAGAGCGCACCACAGGCACTGACACTATTTCTATGATGTGCCTATTTATCTTCGTATCCTAAATGTGCATGTAGACACACACACATAGGCATCGGCCACCCTTTAGACCAGTTAATCCCATTATTTAAGTCTGCCCGGGGTTCGTGTGAATGTGTGTCTCTCCAGATCTTTAAATCGTCAGTGTACAATAAAATTGGGGACCCAACTTACATGCAATATAAAAAGCAAAGGACCTAGGACAGAACCTTAAGGTCTTCCACTAAGTGTAGTGAACAAGAACACAAGTGGGAACAATCGAATGTATATTAGAACAAAATTACAGAATATCTCACTAAAATCTGACAACGATGCAGAAAATCGTTAATTTGCAAACTATCAATCAATTGTCTCGACCTTGACTGTTCCTTCTGCAAACATCAGTCTATCGTCTCCAATTATTATTGTTCACGCATTTTAATACCCATTGCATTCGATTCCCGTTCTCTCGTTACTGATCTTCTACTGAAACATATTCTATGCCCGACCATCATTATATACTACTTGTGTGGATATAAGTAACCCACACCGCCAAGTACTGGTCTCCAGATGAAGCACTTCGAAATTACTTTTACCTTCTGTCTTCGATCTATCAGGAAGTCCTTAAGCCATTTTAAGAGAGGTCCAGCAATACCAAGATTTTCTAGCTTCAATAGTAGTCCATTTGTGGACACCTAGTCAAATGTTTTGCCAAATACTATTTAGACGGCATCTACTGATTCTCCGTTGTCTAGAGTCTTTATCCATTGCTCCCTTGCTATAAGGAGGTTTGTTGTGCAAGATAAGTCTTTTTTGAAACCATAGTGCTAGCTGTTTAACAAGCTGTTGATTTCCACAAATGTCATAATGATCTTTCTGATTATTCTTTGCAGTATTTTAACTACGACACTGGTAAGGCTCGCAGGTCTGTAGTTCGATGGAAGTTGCCTTGGTCCTGATTTATGAATAAGAGTGACAATAGCATCCTCCCAGTCTGTAGGTAACACACCTTGGTCAGGTGACATATTGAATATCACAGTTAGTGGAACTGCAATACATTGCGCAATTTGTCTCAGGATTTTGGGTGTAGTTCATCCAGTCCTGCTGACTTTTACGTATTTAAGATGCTAAGAGGCTTAAATAGATCGTCTCGATCAAAGTTCACGGTAAGCAGACTGTTTGTTGAGTTTGCATTTGGGTCTACTTCTTCGTCGAGAAGAGCCTCCTGAATGAAAACTACCCCGAAATAGTTTGTTTTGCCTCTGGTTTTTCCTGGTCGTCCTCCGTCATTTCGGATCCACTGCCTTCCTTAATTACGTTGGGAATCAAACGCTGCAATTTATGTACGAGAATAATCTCTTAGGCTGTTTGTTTGCCGTTCATGACAACCGCATTTCAAACTTTCTCTGAGGTTCCTGGATTTTAATTATACACCTATTTCTTACCGTCTTGTAGCATTCCATAATACTTACTGTGCCAAGGCTGATGGCAACGCTCCAACACTTCTTCTTTTGTCTTGGTAAACGTCGAATATCCCGGTCTATCCAATGATGGCCGTGCTTCTTCTTCTTTGGACTGTCCAGGGTATGTATGACTGAGTTACCTGATTTTATAACTGCCTGAAATGACTTCATGCCTCTTCTACTGATGCCCGTGGGTCAATTATCCAGTTTTCAGCTGATGCTGAAGAGTTCATCGCCTCCATGTCTGCATTCCATATATCAGGACGGGCCGGCGTAACTGTTTGACAGCAATCTCAGCCATAAACTTGAATAATATGACTACACGATCACTTCTCCCTATAGGTGGGGGGAAATTCATTTGACCGACGTCATCACCGTGTGTGAAGACAAAGTCTAAGATAGACGAGGAGCTTCGTAAGTCATATCTGGTGGGATCTCTAATGTGCTGTAATAAAGCTAGTATAATTGAGGTTTCTAACAGTTTGCAGTCAAATAACATTGTAGATTACCCTACTTCTAAGTTTACCCAGTTTCTACACAGTTTATTAAAGTCGTCTAATATAAGGCTTTCGCCCTTATTACACCAGGGCTTTGCTTGGGCGGATGTCATCTACTACACATTCTAGACTGAGATATACGATAACTAATTCAATATCTTGCTGTCTACATTTCAACCTGCAATGCACCAGTTCATATGTCCCTGAATTACGTGCCGCTGTCTCAAAAACTTCCATGGTTGGGTTACTTTGAGTGTACAGGATAACCACACCCCTCCTACGGTTTAGTTTAGCAGCCCTATTAAATCAAAAAGCGATCGACTGAATTCAATTATCAAATACTTTTGACGTTAACCATGTTTATGAGTCAGCAATGACATCCAACGTTTCCACATCCACCATTGTCTTGAGCTGTGCCATTTTATTTTGCAGGCTTCGAGCATTTGTGTAACACACCTTGAATTCTGTGAAGAGAATTTCCTTACCACTCAGAGTGATCTGGGGATCGTTTCGCTCCGAACTTCTACAATTTGAAAACCCTTAAGCACAAGGTTTCTTTGACCGTTTCGGTGGCGCTCGTTAATTTCTACTTCTGCAGATCGTTTCTTAATACGGTTAACCACGCTGAGATTCTTGTGGACGTATATTCCGAATCCAATCAGTTTTCTTGAATTTCCTAGTATCAGGTTTCTTTCTTCACCTGAAGCAAAGTTAACCTTCATTAGGCGACTTTTCTGCGTACTTTCAGAATCCACCTTTTGTTCTATTGTATAAAGCTTACAGATGCTAACTCCTAAAACTATTTCTGGGAGTACCTTGTTTATTAACGACATAATGTGACTGAAGTCGTGCTCAAACCTTGCCTTTGATTCCTTTTCGGAAGATTCCCTTAACCTATGAAAAATGACTGACCTGCCAGCGAGGTCTGTCTTAACATGCTGTGGAATTTCGATTACTTAAATCTCTTTCCTGCAATCCGTTTCCGATTTGGCGTCAGATGCAGAGGTCTCCCACTGTTTTCTTCCTTTTCGTTTTCTGGGTGTTACTGTAAGCCGATCACCAACCTTATTTTGTCTCTTCATCACATCCTCAGACGTTACTCCTTCTGTAGAACCTAAACTAAGGTTTGGACTGCTCAGTCGAAACCAAAACAAGGTAACTGGGTAAATGGCGGTTCTAATTTTATTATAAATACAAATGTACATCATTAAATAAACAAATATTATCACCTAGTTATTCAACCAATAACTGTTCAATCAGTCATAATTGTAAATTACAATAAATAAAATTGTTGATAAGTGAGAGAAAATTATCATGCGCACAAAATAAGTGTTATTCTATCCTTTCTGGAAAGATCATGTACAGATCCGTTCGAAAGATAATATTTGGTTGCTTTATAACACAGTGTTTCTTATTCTGGAAGAGTGCTTTAATTTACAATCAAAAAATGCTCAATCCCGGTCAATGCAAGCAACACAATAAAAGTTGGATCAAATCATTATGGCTGCTGCCAAGACTAAGCATCAACTAAAACAACATAAATGCAACTCAGGAGGAAACATAGAACCTCAGTGAAGACATAAGGAAAATAAAAACTATAATAAAATACGGGTATTACCATCTCAGATGCAATCAAAAAAAGTCAGAATATACAACTGGGGGGATCAATAGGAATAAACTACAAGTGTATACATGGAAGGATTTTCACACATAGGACCTTCAAAATGGATCTTACACCTCCATAGTCTGTTTTGCATTGATATGTGAATCCGGGACTAAAACCGTAGATTCACATACTTTAGTACTGCTTTTTTTCCCCTGTAACAATGCCCAGATAGGTATGTCTGTTGTTCACCTCCTTAATGAAGTCCACTTTTATGATCTCATCCAAATCCAGAGCTGGGCTCAAGATAACGCTCGTTATTTCTTCAAAAGCAGGATTCTGCTCATCTACTGCTGTCTGCTTATCTGAGGGCAATTTTCTAGCTATATTCAGCAGCGCAATCGCCTCAAGAATCAACAGAGAATTTCTAGAACAACATGCTTTGCACAGCTAACG